TATATATATATATATATATATATATATATGTGTGTGTGTGTGTGTGTGTAATCTACACCTCTGAAGATGAAAGATCTCAAAACTAAATTACTCCCATAAAATGTAACCTTTAATTGTGAACAACCACTCTGTGTATTTTTCTTTGTACAAACCTTTGTTCTCATATAATTCCACAAACTATGTTTCTCAGAGTGCTGGAAAATACAGACAACAGGGCAGAAACTACATCGTGGAAGATGGTGATATCATCTTGTTCAAGTTTAACGCTGGAGCAGGTTTACAAGGCAAGAAGAAATAGTAACCCTTGATACTGGTTTATTAATGCAGTCCACGTGATAATCACGTGTTTCAAGGCTTAACGCCTCAGCACTTGATTGGCTTAAATAAAACTTGTATATTTATCTGAACCGCGTTGTTTCTTATATTCTTTTGTTGTATTACCAGCAGTACATACCAAAACATATTATCTGGAACTGTTTGCAGACATTTTTAACGTATAAATATGTGAAAATTAAGATCGATTTTAGAAATATTGAAGCCACGTTAAAAGTTTGCAAATTGTTATCTCATAAAGCTTTAAAAAATGTTTAATGCAAAATGGACTGCAACTTGAAACGAATTTAATGAGTCGCGAATCAAATCAATGCTGTATATTATATAGCAGAAATAAATGTACATGTATGTTTTTAATAGTTATGTATATATATTATGATTTTATGAAAAAACTGTGTACAATTTTACCATTTCTTACCTCAGAATGACTTGCACTAAGGCCTAGCAATCACAATTGTACCACACAGTTTCGTAGACTGTTAACATCAACGGAAGTGAACAACTTATTAGCCACTGGCATGTTTTCCATGATTATGTTCGCCCTCTCATCTATCAGATACGTCAGTTTATCGGTTAATCTTGGCTTGTTATTCTATCAGATACGTCAGCTTATCGGTTAATCTTGGCTTGTTATGTGTGTATCGTTTACCAGGATAATTAATATTATCTTCCCATCAGAGCAAGCTACCTATTTAAAACTGAAATTCAACCCGGTAATGAGTATAGCTAATTAAATATACTGTTCTTACTTATAATAAAGATTATAATGCATTGTTTTATCAGTTGGGTACCGTCACTATTAACGATATTTCTGGCCGTAAACCCAACAATATCTCACGAGGTTTGGTCTGCTTAGGAGACTTTGGTTTGTCCTAAATCATGTATTAAGCTAACAATGCAAAACAATCTTTATAGTAAAAGTATAATAATAAATAAGAAAATATACATATAAAACGTTGTAACCAATTTTATTAATGAAAATAACGTTACATAAAGAATAATTTGTCTTAGTATAAACATTAGTGAGCTACACGTATTGTCGTAAATTTAATATTTGTTGAACAACGTAATATCAGTATGACCGAGTATAAACAAAACTTTCACAATTCTCTCTAAAAACGCCTTTGACCAATAAAAAACCATTAACTGCTCCAACAGTGAATATTTAGAAGAGCCCGACATATGAGTTAAGTTACTACGATACGTGTTACTGTTTAGGTGCAGCAGGACAGTCGTAAACTAACGTGTAATTACAAAACAAGAAATTAAACGATTACCAAAATCGTACAATAAATAAAATATTGATAATCTAATTAAAATATAATCCTGTGAAATATAATAATAACAATATATTAAACATTTACTGTTTATCCGGCCACATGATTAGTTGTTAAAACAAGTTTTACGTATTTATTACTTCAAAAAAATTTGTCAGCTCATTGTAACAGAGAATTAACTGATATTGATATAATTCTGAAAAACTTGCGTTCCATTGTTCAATATAAAGGAAAATTAAATTAGGGGGTAAAAACAAACTAAAAACGTCGAGAAACATCGTTTTTGTTTTTCTCTTTTACCATTAAACTTAAATTGTAATCGCGAGCTGATCACGTGACAATAAAAAGTGAAGTTAAACTTAAGTTGTAACCGCGAGCTGATCACGTGACAGAAAACTCAAGTTTAACTTGTTGCTTTATGTGTTTCTTTTGAACTAAGAAATAAAAACTTTGATAATATAAAACTTTAAACTACTTGATAATAATTTAATTAAAATGCATTTAAAGTTCAATTAAACCACTCTACTATCACTAGGGGTGCAGAAAGGAATTTAAAAGTGGCGCCCGGGAGCAATAGGGTTAAACTGTTGTACGATATCTAACAGTGATTTAGTACGTAGAATTTTCTTGAAAATTTTTATAAGTAACTTATTTTTTTATGAAAAGCTGAGACATTATTTTCTAAATTTCGGCTAATTGCAATTTATTGGAAATTGAAAATATTCAAGTCTGCTGTCTGCCCAAATCTTGACTATTAATATCGGAAACTATACTAATCAAACTAAGTACCACAATTTGTTAATTCTCTTGCAGACAAAGTGTCACATGTTTATTTAATCCAACATCCTTTTAATTTCTTGGACTTTTATTCTCAACGATAAATAACTTGAATCTAATGAGCGCCACGTAGTATCGCAAATTTGAGTGAGTAGTAGCTCATCTTCTGTGAAGCCGAAGCTCAAGATCGCATCTCAAATTTGACGCACGATAAATATACGTTTCTGATTAATAAACAATATATTAGACTTTAGTGCTTTGTGAATAAGCTTCTTTCTGGTGAAGCATCTTTAGCGCCACCCTTTGTTAACTAAAATAACTAAATAATAGTTCATAAATCACCTTGTCTACATTCTCCATTCAAACACTATTGTTTGTTTTAGAGCAAAGCCACATTAGGCCAATTTGCTGTGTCCACAACGGAGAATCAAACCCCGCATTTTATCGTTGTAAATCCATAAATTTATCACTGTTCTCTTGGAAGACACAGAATAATATTATATACAACTTACATTAAGCTAAAGAATAGCGCTAATAAAGTTATTCCTTGATATGTAATTTAGTAACAAAGTTACTGCTCTCCTATATACTTCGTTAATGAAATGAACGTGCTCGAGCTTATTGTATTGTGTGGGAACCAATTCATTCTTTGTGGATTTCTACTCATCAAGTATGTACAGATAGAATGCTACACAGTTTACCGAATGTCTCGCTTTCAAGAATTTTACATTCAAGGATTTCCTAGTCACCTCCAGTTTTTTATAAATGTAATTATTGTTTATAAATAAATTATACAATAACAGATCATTACAAAACACGGTTACGTAAAATGGGAATCACAACGGAGGTTTAAGAGTTTCTTACAAATCAAACAGATCGCTGACTTTAATAAATCCACAGATATATCACAGTGCAATTAATTTTGAAAATTTGCAAATTGAAAACTGTAATATTCCCCTTTACTCTTATAGAAACTATTCTGATTAGCTTTAGAAATGCGCTTCAGTTTGAAAATCACAATATTAGGTTAAGGCATTTATTTCAATACATTTCTTGATTATAAGCTGTGCATGAAGAATGGAAACAGGTAACAAATAAAATATGCTTTAGTTATGTTATTTACCAACAGGCGGCGCTAAAAGCTTTTTACAAATTATTTATAACTAAATAATGCATTAATTGCAAAAGAAGAGCATTTATTAAATGTCTGATTTAAGAAGCAATCTCCGTCTTCGAGAATTAAGCCTTATAATGTTTGGTAGGATATAAGGGCAACAGACCCTAGTTGTATAAATCTGTAGGCGTATGCGCTGCTATTTAGAGGGTAAAATATCTGTTGTGAATAAAAGTCCCTAAAACAATTCAAAAGCTCAAACGTTTTCAAAGAGGAGGATAAAAAAATAGGGGCGATAGCTTTAACAGCGTGTAACTAAGGCTTATTCAACGAACCAATCGAAAGCAAACGTGACATCTAATTTGATTTGATTGGCTTTGACACTGAGGATCAAGTTTTTAGCTGACACCAGAGAAAAGGTGTTACAAGGATAAGGAAAGTGACCCCGCTACAAGGTCTAATCAGATTGTAGCGTTTATTTAGGAGATAAATGTCCATGTACATATTTGATGATAAGGTCCCCGTAGTTAGAAGTACAGGAGAAAGAAGAGGGAATTTATAAATATTTGTTTTTTATTCTCCTCATTGTAACAATATATTATTTTTTAAAGAAAGTCATAGCTTAAATATCTATCATCCTACTGTGTTAACTGTCTTTATAGTTCAGAAGAAATGTCTTTTATTTACAATTTATATTATGTTCAATTTATAGTATATTGTTCTAATATTATTTTAGTGTGATCCGCTTGAATATCTTTGTAACGAGTTATGAGTGAGGCACAGAAGCTAGCGTGTCTGGTCTGTAAATCCCATGATTTGTAGTTTGTATCCCGTTGTCTCAAAATGAGATCCGTACTTGGGGCTGTTGGTGCACTATAAAAGTCATAATCAAATTCCACTATTAGACCAGACAAGAGTAGCTGTCTCCTAGCTATCTTTCGTTCTAGTCTATCAATTAAAATTTAGGGGCGGCTTTGCGCAAATAGCCCTTATGTAGCTCTGCGCGAAATTCTGAAACAAACTTCTGAGGATTAAGCAGTACTAGCTTGATCGTTATAATTTTAATAATTTTCTTTTTCAAGATTCATTAAAGCTACTTAGTTTGTTTTAGGATGCACAATGGACTGTCTGTACTCTGTACATCGCAGGGATCGAGCCCCGAATTTAAGCAAACTAATCCCTCGAAATTAACGACGAATTACTGGGAATTGAAGTGTTTTTTTGGGGGGGGGAGAGGTTAATGATGGTAAAATAATTTTTATAGTGGGGGTTGTTGAAAACCGTTGAAACTGTAAATATTGGCAACCCTTGTGGGGGCTTTTGAAAACCGAGACAAGGACAGCAAGTTATGCTTGTCGGAAAGAATACATAATATACAAACAAAAGCATCTGTAGTTATATATTGCATAGAGTGGACAATGAAACAGTCCTTGAAACTGAGATCCCAATCCTAGTAGTGGGATAATATTAAGTTGCCGTAATGTTACACCATATTATAAGTCTTTCCGAATCGCTTTGACAAGTTTTTTTAGTGTTCTATATGTTCCGCTTTGGTAAAGTTTAGACCTTAATATCAATTTATATATCATTAATTTCTCTGTTGTTTGCAAAAATATTTTGTTATTACCCTGCAAGCATTTGTATTTCCCATCTAGCTCAGTGTAGTCGTGCAAGCGAGTATTATTATAACGAATAACCGGAAAACATTCAGCTGTGCAAATCAGAAGCCAGGCGGCCAAGTTTTTGTGTATAAGCTGATCCCAATACAAGTCCACGATTTGACTAACGCAGATACCAAGTTAGATTTATTCAGTTGTTACGCATGACACATGTTTACTTGCGTTTTCTCTAGCTTATAGTTAACTTCAAAGCGACAGACGAAGTGATTGTTTGCCTAACTTAATCT